AATAACGTGTTCGGTAATGTTCGTGATTTGACTGCCATGTGCTACGTGCATACTTTGAAAAGCCACATCGCGCAGTATAGAGATGTACAATGACTGAACACAAAGCATAAAAAGAAATCAGCAGCACACAGATATTTGAACAGATCAGATCGTCTGGGGGTAGCAGGGGACTTAGAGGAAAAGATGGCATGACTGATGTGGCCACACCCCACCCCTATGCACGCCTCCCTGCTGTCGCAGAGTCCAGTCCTCGTGGGCTTTGGATCACTGCAGAGGGTCTTTGGCACCATTTCTGTGTCGCTGGTAAGTGCCCATTCTTTGTTACACTTGACTTTTCCACGTTTTGGACTTTGAGGGACTCTGGTCTAGTTCTAGTCCATGGCAGTTTATGTTCAGAGAGGGCAGGACGTATCAGACGTGCCCAGGAAGAGCTCACTCCTCTGCAGGAACCGCTCAATAGCACCTTTTGCACACGCAGCCAAGAGAAGGGTGCCTCCACCTGAAGTAGCTCACTTCAGAGCAGGGAGGACTCTCTAGGCTAGGGAGGGTGACGAAGAGATTGTGAACGCAGCAGGAAAAAGCTGAGGTCTGAAGTCAGAATCCTGATGTAACTAAGTCATCGGCCAGGGAGCACAGAAGTACCAGACGTAGGCTCTGCCTTGGAAATGCGGGAGCTCATGGGGAGACAGAACGACGTGGTGGGTGCCCCTGGAACAGCGACAGTGGGGTAGGGCACGGGCTCGTCAGGGATCTTGGCTGAGCATGCAGAGCGCGACCAGGGAGTCTGTCAGCGAGAGGCACCTACAACAGTCAGGTGAAGAATGAAGCCCACACTACCGCCCGGAACGGCCTGTGATTATCGGACTGGGAAGCGCATCTGCGGTCGCTGTGGCTTCCAGACTGCACCGGCCCAGGAGGAAGCAGCGGTCGTTTGCTGACGCTACCCTCCCAGTGCCGGGCTTGCAGGAGCAGGGCCTAGCGTGCGTGTGCTGCTGTGTTTGCTTCTGCTTGTTCCCCGTCGGCTCTGTGTGCGCTCGCCGGCACTACACTGCTGTTCACGCAGCGCGACGAGCCTGTCTATACCAGGGCCAGATGAGAGCGAGGGGTTCCTCTGCGGTTTCCATCGGAGTTGTGCTGAGGACCGAAATGATGGCATTCCAGAACGAGAAGCTGACAGCGCGAAGGCTCTGGCCAGGGCTCAGCTTCACTCTCCCATCTGTTTTGGTAAGGGTCCCCAGGAGGAGTGGGGGTTCCTGTGGGGCTCAGGTACCGAGACCACAGTCATTCTGAGAGCAGAGAGAGGCAGGACCTGCCAGTGCCTGCCTGCCCGGGTGTGCTGCGCCACCCCGGTGAGCACTGAGACGCGAACACCCTCG